CCGCTCAGCACACAGTGCCACGAGCAGCAGCAGCAGCAGCCTGACTGCAGTAGTCATCAAGAAGAAAAAGTCTTCGATGAGAATGCCTCACAAAAGATGACGACAATGAATCGGCTGGTTGCGTTGGTTTCCTTTCTCTGTGCAACATGGGTGCTCTGCTACATGCTGTTTTCCGGTATCGACCCGGGCAGATCAATGTATGCACGGATGGCCGATCGGGTAGTGGGAGATCCCAAGGGAGGAGGCCAGATACTGCACCTTGCATTTCCCGTCTTGATTGCCGGGAGTTTGGCGTCTCTCTGCTGGACGTTGCCATCTCTGTCGGTGTCTCGTCGCAGTGCATTATCATCACTTGTAAGACAACAACTTCCAAACTGGATCTATCGATGCCGGCATCGACTCCTGTTTGTTGAAGGAGAGTGGAAGCTCGATTTTTTGGCATGGACTCTTATCCTCGTCCCCAGCGTCGTTTTTGTCTTCATGGTGGTATACCGACATATGCATGGGAAGGAGTTGGCTCTGGATGATCAAGTCTCGGTCACATCCAACGCCTTTGGAGTCGTCGCAGAAGTGGTCGGATCCTTCCTCATGATCCCCGTGGCTCGACATTCCTCCCTCTTAAAAGTCGTCGGATGGAGTCCAGCAAGGGCTGTTATACTGCATATTTGGACGGGACGAATATTCATCCTGGCCGTCATTGTCCATGGTTCCATGCACATGTTCCGATGGGTTGGACTGTCCAACGAGAGTCTCGTGGGCATGCTCGTACCACCGGCGGGTTGTTGGTCCATGAACTCGGAGACTTACAATGCAGCACAACCTACCTGTGTCGATGAGGACACCGACTGCACTTGCTACGATATCCATCGAAACTTGACTGGGGTTTTGGCTGGCGTGGCACTCCTTGTCATATTGATTACAAGTTGGTATCCAATTCGCCGTCAGTGCTACCGACTCTTTTACATGTCTCATGTCATTGCGGCACCACTGGCAATCATACTCGTTGTGTTGCATTGGAACAGGTCCATTCTTTTCATGGCTCCTAGTCTCATCTACTACACGGCGAGCTCCTTCCCCGTCTTCGTGGAGAGCTGGGGGCGGCAATCGACTTCCAAAGGTGTGGAAGTGGTCTCAATTGATAGGATTGCTTCCTTTGCGGACTGGAAAGGGAAGCAGGGCGCCAATTCCAGAGGCACCAATTCCACGCACTACATTAGCTTGACGGTCAGAGCCACCGAAGCTGCTGTTCGCCAGTTCCGACCTGGTTACTACATTCAGCTTCTGGCACCGGATGTTTCCACCATCTCGCATCCTTTCACCATCAATCTGGTGCCCGCAAGGCATGATCAGTTACGCATCATTTTCAAGGCCACAGGTAACTTTACCTTACAGCTCTCGCAAAGTTTGCAACCACAGCAACCTCCTTCCTCCAGTCTTCCTCCCATCTTCTTGGATGGTTTCTTGGGATCACCCAGTCGCGTTCGAGAAGTCCTTCAGCACGACGTGGCAACCATGGTTGCCGGGGGCATCGGAATTACTCCTTATCTGACATTGCTTCATCATGTTCATGACCTGTTGGCCCAAGCACCGCTAAACACCTTTGCCACCAAGCGAATTGTACTGTTGTGGATCTGCCGAGATGCCAGCTTGGTCGAATATGTCCAGAGAGAATACTTCCAACCTATGCTGACTAGCCACAGTCACAACGACAATGCGGATTTCAAGATCAAGATTGTTGTGTATCACACAGGGGATCATTCGATGACAGCAATGCCATGCTCGAATGATGAGGAGAATGCTCTGCCCGCAAGTCCCGTTACCGGTATTAATACGGAGGCAGCGAGTCTCATTCAGGGCAGGCCGTTTTCGCCGTCACGGTTTTCCACGGGATCCAGTTCGAGCATGAGAACAAACATACTTTGCTTTCTGGCCTTTTCTTTCACTGCCTGGCTGGGGCTGGCATCTGTATGGTGGGCGTACAAACATCTGCAAGCAAAGAAAGAAACTGCTTATCGAGTAACGGGGCCTGTGTTTATTGTTGTTGTTGGTCTTGTGGTGGCCGTGGCCGTCAATATCCTGAGCGGGCTCTCCTGTTTTCAGCAAGATGGAGAAGACTCTAGCACTTCCTCCCCTATGTGGTCGCCCGTCCCATCTCTCGATGAAGAGGCAGCGCTCCCTGATGGCCTTGTCCAATCATCCATTGAAATGGAAACGGTAGGAGCTGTGCCTGATGTTAACGAAGGCGACATGTCCGATGACGACATTGATGGCGCAGTCTCTGAAAATGTTGTGTCCTTGGAGGAGAGAAGGGGCAGGCCCTCTGTTCATCAACTCCTCAAATATGCAGACAAGGGAAGACATCCGGGGTTGTTTACTTGCGGGCCGCTTCCTCTCATGAAAGATATCCGAGAGCATACCGAGGAACGCTGCATCATGCGTCTTCAACAGTGCATGCGAGGGGCATCGCATAACATTGCTTTGTATGAAGAGGCATTTGCCATGTAGTGTCGGCTGCCTTTTTGTACTTTTTAGATTATTAGAATGTAAAATTTAGATATCATTCAACACAATACAATACAAGGCCGCAAACACTTGCCTCTACATTGAACGGGAAGGCTGCAGGCTGGTACGGGGCTTCAATTGGACTTGTTTACCTATTAGCTGTTTTTGCCATACCGCCTCAATCTTATCTTTATTTACTTTCTACTTTTGATTCTTCTTCCAAGCAGCCAGAGCCTTGACGTGCTTTTGTTTCTCCTTGCCCAACTTCTTCATGGCACTCTTTGTCAACTCAGCTCCATCAGCGTCATGAGTAGGGATGCCCGTCTCTGGATCAAACTTGCTGTACATGCCCTTGTACTCTTCCGACAATCGGAACAAGTCGTTGGGTTCAATCTTCATTCTGGCTTCCTTGAGCTCCAAATCACGCGCTTGCTTTGCCTTGCGGGCCTCGTCCTCGGCCACTTTCTTGGCAGACTTTTGTGCCTTGGGACCCTCCGATTTCAAGCTGACCGTTCTGTTGAAGACAAGTTTGCCCTCACTAGTCTTGATGTCAAAGGTGGTATCCAGATCCACAACGAAATAACCCATGCGCTCAAACTGCACGATAGTGTTGGACGTCCACTGATCCACGCTGCCCTTGTCGACGCCTGGGACTTCCTTGATGGACGGATCAAGGATGGCGTTTGCGTAGACAATTTCACTCTCGGGGTTGATTTCATCTTCCCACAAATCGCTCGGTTCTGGGACGGTAAAAAGTTCATTGTAGACGCGTACTTCGGCCCGAATTCCATTGGATGGAACCCACGACAGGTACGTCTTGGGTTTGGGTCGGCCTTCCGAGTTGTCCAAGTGACACCGAAGTTCCTTGATCTTTCCGTTTTCCTCGACGACTTCATCGCAAACTAGGTTCCCTCCGTGATATTTGACTCCCACGGCCTTGTTTGGCGCCAGCCCAAAGTAATCGGATGAATCCACCTTTCGGAAATCGGACGAATCGATGTAGATTGACGACGTCAATGTGACTGTATGCTTCCCCAAGGATGGATCGGTAGGACTGTTTTCCACTTCAAAAGTCAAGGTGGATGCTTTGGCAGCTTCCTCGTCAAAGTTGGTGATGACAATCAAGATGGGTTCCAATGCCGCCATGACTCGTGTCGACGTGGCACTAAATTGCAATCTGGCGGTCTGATGGAGTTTGCTGATTTCCACCACATTTTGCGCTCTGGTGGCGCCCACATCGTTGCAAAATCCGTTAATGATTTCCTTGGTATAACCACGACGTCTCAGGCCTGACACGGTGGGCATTCTGGGATCATTCCATCCTCTGACTGTGTTGGTATCGACCAGTTTGATGAGCCGTCTCTTCGAAAGGACTGTGTATTGGAGATTGAGCCTAGACCTGTTTGTTGTTGAAAACAGTTGAGTTGAAAATAGGAGAGAGTGAGAAACAAAGACAAACGATAAAACCCACCAAAGTGGCCTGCTTCTGTCCTTACATTTCGTACACCGCTGGCCTGTACACGTCGAGCGCCCAAAGAATCCAATAGTATGGCTCCCGCCGTGATTCGAATTCGAGAGTGCAAATTGAGTAATCAATGTGTTCCAAAGAGTCGCACAGTCCATGCGTAAAGTCGTAGGCCGGATAGATGCACCATCCATCTCCAATATGAGGATGAGGTGTGAACTTGATGCGATATGCGACCAAATCGTACATGTTTGGATTAGAAGACTCAAAGTCCATTTTGAGTCGCAGGGTGTAGGTTCCTTCGTCAAAGAATCCCATTTTCATCTTGGCAAACAAGTCCAAATTGCGTTGGACAGGAGTGTCTCGGTTGCGTCCTGGCAAAATATCGGGCGACGGAATGGGAAATTCAACATCGGGATCTTTTCCAGTGGATCTGGCAGCGGCCCGTTTGTATGCCAATTCTCGCTGAGCTTCCATTTCGGCCTTGGTCATGTCGCACACATAGGCGAGTCCCTTTTCGATCAATTGGACGGCGAAATCATGCAAGTGCTGAAAATTTTCAGACGAGTAGGTGGTCCGCTCGGGCTTCCATCCCAGCCATTCCAGATCCCGACGCAAGGAGTCAATGTACTCTTCCGATTCGGCGTCGGGGTTGGTGTCGTCGTATCTAAAAATACAGCGACGGTCTGCCTCGGGGACCTTTAATTTTTCAAAGGCCAAGGAGAAATTCATGTTCATGGATTTGGCATGACCCACATGCAAATAGCCATTGGGCTCAGGAGGAAATCGAGTTCGAATGATTGCGCCATTGATCTTCTTGTGCTCTTCCAAAAGGGCAGGCGAGTTGACGGCCCATGCCAATTCGCGAGCGGAAAGAGCATTGCGGGTGATGTCTTCTTCGCCTTCTGATTCGGCTGGTGCTGGTGCTTTGGCTTCTTCACTCATTGTCTCTTTTGCTGCTTTGCCTGCGGTTTCTAGCTGGCTACAGTAGATAGTAGTGTCTTCAAAGGACTTGTATTTTGAGTTACGGTATCTCAAAGCTCTCCGAAATCCGAGGACTCTTCCCAACCAAGAGAACTTCCGATGCAGAACGATGAGGGTTTGGAATCTTTGGTTGTGTGGCCTGGACAGTGAGTGCGTGGTTCACGTTTGATCCGGGTTTCGTCTGCTGAACGGGTTTGACAACTCGTGCTGGCTTAAAAGACCAGGCATAGTGGTCACAAGACCGTCATTTATTTATTTATGTCACAAGCATCCGCTCCTCGAACTATTGCCATCTGCAACAGCAACAAGGACCGTATCCTTCGATCCTCTCGGGGCTCTTGTTGTTTCTTTTCGTCAATCGAGGGAGAGATCGTGGTGTGGTCGTAGCATTGAAAGCTGTGTTCGTGGAACGGGGTACCGTTTCTGGTGGTCTCTTCTGCTAAGTTGAGTGGGATAAGTGAGTTAGTGCAATTAATTGGAATTTCGTACATCGAAGAAGTCAGCAACATTCTGCTGCTTATTGGTTGATCAGGTGGTGATTATCGCCAAGGAAACGTTGCAAGATGGAACGGTACCAAAAGATGGAAAAGATTGGTGAGGGGACTTACGGTGTCGTGTACAAAGCCAAGGACCGTGTCACGGGAGAAATCATCGCCTTGAAAAAAATCCGCCTGGAAGCCGAGGACGAAGGGATCCCCTCCACTGCCATTCGTGAAATTTCCCTTCTCAAAGAGCTCCAGCATCCCAACATTGTACGGCTATACGATGTCGTTCACACAGAGCGAAAGTTGACTCTGGTCTTCGAGTTTCTAGATCAGGATTTGAAAAAATACCTCGATGTCTGCGATTCCGGTCTGGATCTACCCATTCTCAAGTCCTTCCTCTACCAATTGTTGACTGGAGTCGCCTACTGTCACCATCACCGTGTACTGCATCGAGATCTCAAGGTACGTTCTGTGTTCTGTGTTCTGTGCTATATGCTAGCAAAGCAGGGGTTAGCTTTTACCGGGGTATTCACCCATTCATCTGGATCTTCTTTTTTGTTTCCACCCTCTCATTACCTACACAAACACTCGCTGTCCTTTTCCTCATTCTTTTGATAGCCACCCAATCTGCTCATCAACCGAGAAGGACAGCTCAAACTAGCCGATTTTGGCCTAGCCAGAGCATTTGGTATTCCTGTTAGGTCTTACACCCATGAGGTCGTCACTCTGTGGTACAGGGCACCGGACGTGCTCATGGGAAGCCGAAAATACTCGACACCTGTTGATATCTGGTCGGTTGGGTGTATCTTTGCGGAAATGGCCAATGGAAGGCCACTGGTCGCTGGTACCTCAGAAGCAGACCAGCTGGATAAAATATTCCGATTGCTGGGGACACCCACACTGCAGGGCTATCCTGGGATTGTCGACCTGCCAGAATACTCTCCCGATCTTCCACCTTATCCAGCACCCATGGGAGGGCTTGCTTCTCTTGTTTCTGGGTTGGACGCTGAAGGGATCGATTTGCTGGGGAAAATGCTGCAGTATGATCCAGCACGGCGCATCACTGCGCAAGCGGCACTGGAACATCCTTTCTTCTTTGACATGACGGGACGCGGAAGGTAGGAAGGAAGGAACGAACGAGCAAGCGAAGCAATGGGCGAATAGACTAGCGAGAGAAGCTAGCTAGAGTTAGACTTGATCAGTCGTTTTGTGAAACAAGCAAGATGAGCTGCCTGCTTGATCGTTGTACGGTACAATACTGTATTCAAAGCACACTATTTTAACAGCATCGGTTTACTGGTGGGGAAACTTGGCTAGCGGCTCACTTGGATGGTTTGTTTGTGTCAAGATACAGTAGCTAGCTGGGTGCAGGTCAAAAAACAGCAACCGTAAAGATTGAGCTGGGTGAGTTGGCTGATATCGGTCGACTTTGCCTTTGCTGCGAAGATCGTAACTTCTTTAGCACGACGATGCATTCCAATCCATTCTTTTTTTAAAAAATACCCTTCAAACTCATGCTACTGCCCGTCCTCTGGGTGGCTTGCCGGCAGTACGGTAGCTCTGGGCCCTTCCTTCTAGCTATTTCAAATCAAGTCGAAGGGTCCGGTCTCAGGAGAGAAGTGGATTCGGTATTGGTTCCACTGGTAGACACCGACCCGCTGGATCTCCTCAGAAATCGAACTGCGTATGGTTCCCTGCCGATGTCAGCCCACGGATTTCGTTCAAGTTGCATGAATACTACCTGGGACCCACCGTTGGCAATGCTTATAGAATCGTACGTAGGAAAAGAAGTCGCTGGAGGATCCTGACCGCTTGTCTCAGTGGTTGTCTCAGTCCCAGAAGCACTCGGAGCAGGAGGTGCAGAAGCAGACGGCGATTCACCCGAGGTTGCTTCACCAGAAGAAGCATCGCCTTGTCCCGGCGCACCTGGTTTCCGTGGAGGCTTTCCCACATCTTGTCGACAGACCGGGCAGATACAAGGATTGCCACACCCCGAGTGTGCAAATGTCTTCCAGCAGGTGTCACAAAAGATATGGCCACATCGAAGCATCTTGATCTTACGACCGTCACACCCCACCAGAGGAATCCCATAGCTGTCAACCCGTCTCATCCCACTGATGGCGGGTTTCTTGACATCGTCGTCATCATCATTGTAATTGCCGTGTTTCGCCAGAGGTGCAGACTCTTCGTCGTCGTCGTCTTGATCAACGACACTACCGGTACTTGCGTCTGCTTCCTCCAGATCTCCCTCATCGAACGGTTCCAAGCAAATGGGGCAACTTCGAGTGTTGTATTTCTTTTGTAGCAAACGGGCCTTTTCTTTCTCCACGCCGGACAATTTACTCCTCGATTCGGCATACTGCCATCGTTTGCGTCTGTCTCGGTACTCGCCCCAAGCTCCAAAGAAGAATGTGAACAATGCAAAGGCAATGACCACCCCGAACCGACTAATAAAATCATGGAGACGGTCACTCATTGTAGGGGGGCCAGCCTCCAGCATTGCCGAAAGATTTTCAATGGATCTGAGGAGTGCATTTCCATAGTCCCTGTGTCGTAGATCAGGCTTCATGCCAGCGACAATATGTTCCAGACGCCACCAAGGCAATATCGAGGCAATCTCGCTGCCAGTAGATATAAAACAAACTCGGTCCTGAACGGACAAGAATATGAGTATACCATAGTCCCCGTTGTTTCTCTTGCACAAGTCCATTTGATCTTTGACGGTATTTTGATAGCAGTCCTCTTCACTGGCGGCCCACCAGGTATCATGCAGAGTTCTAGCAAATATTTGTGCAGCGTCATTTACCATATCATCTTCGTCTTCGTAGACGTAGTAAGAACCCTCTCGGAGAACAGCCGGTAAGTTCATCTGCAAGCAGCAAAAAGCCAAACGGTGAAACGAAACTCGTCAGAATTTCCAAACATCTAGTGTACGAAAATGACAATACAGTCGTTCACGCACCTTTCGAACAGTCGCAACCCCCAATTGCACTTGCGGAAATGGCAGCATTACACGGTCAATTTCCTCTTGAGTTGGAAGCGGCAACGTTGCATTGTCGGCAACCTGGTCATTCTCCACGGCTGGAGGCAGCGATGCATCCACACTGGCCACAGTGACATCCCAATCTGGTTGTGAGAAAACACTGGAGAAATTTCGGAGTGCAAATGCGATCCGTTCCATTCCAATTCCGCCGAGGACCCAATCCGGGTCGCAGAGCCGTAATGGATCATCCTCGTCGTCGTTGCCTTCATCTATGCCATGATGCCGCTTGGCTATAGCTTGTTGCTCTTCAGGCAAGAATGCGATCGAACATCGTACAGGATCCAAGAGTGGATTCGGATACAAGTCAGGCGTCCAACCATAGACTTGTGGCTCTGATGGTGGTTGTTGTTGCTGTTGTTGTTGTTGTTGATTTTGAGATGAGCTTTCCGACTCTTCCTGGGCACCACGTACATGGGCAAAACTTGGGACCAGCGGTGATTGCCAGAATGTGGCAGAAGGTGTGGATGCCCCCTTGTTGGCATCCTTATTGGTCGCAGACCCAACCATTTTAAGATTGAGATTGAAATCATTCGATGGCCTGTTCAAAGTTGCTGCTGTTGGTGACTGTGTCATCGGCGAATCTGTCGCTGAGAAGCAGCCTTCGTCCAAGTCGCAATCTTCCTCGGACCATCTGGAAAAGGCAAAATGAACACGGCCAGTAGTCTTGTTGTTGTCGCAGTCGACATCGGTAGGGAAGAAATGAGCCTCTGCTTGTGACTGATTATCCAGGACAATTCCAAAGATCCATACTGACATGGACAAGGCCAGAACGACCATCATGTGGGAAGGAGGCCATCTCCATAATTGATAAGTAGCGTCGATTGTCGTGCGATTGGATCTTTGGAAGGAAGTAGTATTAGTCGTCACGCCATTCTCGGAAGGAGAGGAAGACAGCTGTTGATGCTGCTGCTGATACAGGTGATGGAGCTCGTATACGTGGGTGTAAGGACCCGTCATGCTTCAATTCATTCTCTGCTGGCCCAAACGTAAGTAGAAGACTGGCAGTCAAAAACAAATGCCGATCCAAAGATCTGATAGATGGAACCTCCCAAGGAAAAACCTCGATCTCTTCGACGAGTAGTGCCTCTGTTGGTCCTTTCGTCTTGTCTTGATTGTTCTGCAAAAGCTTCTCTGTTGCAGTTTGCTATGGTGGTATAGTACGGTACGAATGAAATAAAATGAGCTCGCTTCGTATCCTTTGACGCTTCTTCGCCTTCGACGCCTTTAGTACTGTGTGTCGCCGTATTTTCAAGTGCTGTCACTGAAGCCAAGTGTGAGAAGGCTTTGGGCTTCTCTTCTTTGGTTTGGTTGAATTGAATGGCACAGCTGTTTGGCACCAAGCTTTACTGTGGGAGAACGCTGACGAAAATGTGGACCCTTCCTGGCTCGTGTCGAGCATCCTGAAGTACCGGTACTAGCTAGCTAGTACATGTACTAGCTAGTAGCTCGTACGGTATGCACAGATGACAGCTAGCCAGCTCGAGCACTACAATATGTATGTATGGACAAGACAAGCATACCGGTAGGGTGCTTAGTTAGTACTAAGCTTTTATTTATTTACAGTAGGAGAAGAGGCCCATCAGCCAGAGACCCAGAACAACAATTATAACCGACACAAAAGAACACTAAAAGACACAAACCAGTTCAAGACCTGCCAATACCGATATCATGATGATGGATTTGCGGAGGATGATTCATCCTCCTTGCCAAGTCGGTTTCGAAGCAATGCCGCACAAGCATCGGGCAACTTTTGCTCGTCCAACAACGGCCGAAGATCATCCAACCACCCCAAGTGGGCCATCAGATCCAGCAAAACAAAGTCACAGTTGCCCTGCGCAAACACATCGCGCTTCGAATCTGGCCCATAGGCTACCCCCAGGTGCCAACCAACTGGCTCACGATTCACCAAGAGCCGTAACGCTGTTTTTGGAATGCGCCATACCAACGAGTTTGCCGGAGCCACTCGCAGAGAAGTCCCAATCACAATGAGAAGATCTACGTCCAACACATCCCGTGGGACATTCTCAAAAAACGTCATGGGCAGACTCGATCGGAACAAGACAATGGCCGGCTTGACCGCTCTGGATCCACAGGTCGTGCAGGTGATGGGAGTCGATTCCTGTGGAGCTTGTTCATCGTTTCCCGACAAATCTTTGATTTGATCCCGCACACGGTCACAGAATTGACCGTAATCTGACTCCTGGCCACAATGGGCACATTCGGCTCGGTCCATGGAACCATGAACAGCAATGACTTTGTCTCTTGGCAACTGCGTGCATTGATCCTCTAGTCCGTCGATATTTTGTGTGTAGAGACGAACCAGTTTCCCCGTCTTGGCATGCAGCAACTCGACAAACCGATGTGCCAGTGTTGCTTTCCATTTTTGGTTGCGAGTCCCCAAAATGAATTCTCGATTCAACTCGAGACAAGGCAACGGATTTTGCAGAAACATGCCTTGCTCCAGAGCCACGGTGGGGTCCATGCGAATGGCCTCTCGTTCTACGGGATCGGCGGAAAGCAAGTCAGGATTCATTGTCGCGTAGAGGCCATTGGCGGATCGAAAGTCGGGGATCCCCGCCGCGACGGACATGCCTGCCCCCGCCAGTATGACAATGTTTCTACACTTGTCGGATTGGATAAACTTGGCCACGTCTTCCACGGACTTGGGCAGTTTGTCAAATGAATATTGAAGCTCCTCTTCTTCTTCGTTTTCAGAGGATTGAAAGAGGCCAATAGGGATTCCCCTCGCCACGGCAGTTGCAATGTCAATAATGGTCGGACTGGCATCGCTGTCATTATCTTCTTCATCGTCGTCGTCATCGTTGTCGTTGCTGTCGTTATTATTGTTGCTGGTAGTTTCATCTCCCGAAGATTGTGCCACGCGATATCTCTCGTCATTCGGATGGGATTGTCTGGGCTTTTTCTTCTTGGGCTCAGAAGCTTCTTGAAACTTGAGCTGTTCCAGCCTTTGTATTAAAGGGTCCAAAAGAGGATCCTGAACATAAGCTTCACACTTGTAACACCAGACCGAAAGATCAACCAGACTAGCTGCGATACAGTGCCCAGTCGTACTTTCTTCTCCCTTTTCCGTTTCTTGATAATGAGCCAGACAGTGGCCGTTCACATACCGGGAGCAACGGATGGCACCACATTCCATACAAAACCAATTTTCACCGGCTGGACAGGACTTTCCATTGTCGTCGGGATCGTCAGTGTCGGATTTGAGCCGCCCTATTCGATCCTTGTTGTTATTATCGTCCATGTCCTGATCTTCCTGCGCAAAAAATGAGCACAGTGCGTGCTGCGGGTGATCGGGTAGCTTTTCGGTTGTTACCTTCACATGGTCATTCACGTGAGGACAATCCGTTTTAGGGACCACTGACCCACCCCGGTCCTTTCCCATGCCATTTTCCAAAATATAGTTGACGACTACAGATACTTCACTAGTTGGACCCACCTCGTCGAGCGCTTTTTCCGCGGCCTCCGTGTCAAAGCCATACCCCGAAGTCAGTTGCTCCAACATGACCAGTCTCCGTGCTTGCGAGGCATCATCGTTACTACTGGAAGCAGCCGCTGCCGCCGGTGGCACATCCATGACGCTGCTTTGCACTTGGCTGGAGAAAGATAAGTCAATGCCTTGGGGTATCCAGCTCTTGATAGTAATAGTATGCTGCGGGATGCGGGATCCTTGCTTTGATAGAAGTGAGAAGTGCACGGCAATTTCGATCGCAATTCGTTGCTTTGCTGTAGTTGTTAGGGATGAGGTTTTAGCATGCCCGAGCGCTGAGTCTTTACATTAAATCTTAATGTGTAACGAGAACGACAAGACTTAGGCATGAAGAACATAGGAGCAGAACTTCCTGCATTTCGGTACGGTACCGTAATATGAATGTGATCGTTGTTAATTAATGTTTCTAAAAGGTGCACTCGTACCGTTCTACACCCCGTAGTACGTCACACCATCATCGTTGGTAACGCAGAAATCAACCAATCAAATAGATGCTCGCCTCGGCCAGGTGATGCGTGGGAGGAGGACACTGAAGGTGCACCAAACGACTCTGCCTGTGAGTGACTTGGCGCCGTTTTGCTTTTGCAATTTAAAAGCATGCTCAGAACTCAGAAGAGTTGGTGTCGCCACCAGAGGAACTGTACTAGCTAGTACCGTATCAGCAGATTCATTCTATTCTACCCTTGAGTGGAGTTGAATCAAGAGCGCCACCATTCAGAAAAATCTCAACCAAGTTGTTTGAGTCCACTCAGATATAGACGAGTGCAGTACCTGATTGCTTCTCTGGGCTGCTCAGATGATGCAGGAAGCAGCAGGATCAGACTTGGAAAGACAATTTCTATTTCTGAGGCCAATAATATCGTATCACTAGCTACTGGCTTTTGGCCCAGGAATTCTGCCATCCTCGGGCGCAATAGCGAAGTTGGATACCTTCTATACTTGGAATTTCAAGATGGTGGTAGCACTGCCTTCTAATGATTCGATTCAAGTTTTGATACAACCAACAAGCCAAACCACTTTCATATCCCATGCAGTTGCCAAGTTTCACCATTCCTTGTAATGGACTTGGGTCATTTCTTTCAATGCCGCCCATTAGAATCGACTACCATAATCTTTTTACTAAAGCTGTTGGCATTTCAACTCAATTCTGGGCCTGCCAATAAGACACCCTCCCACACATGACAGCTAAGTATTGGACTTCTCAGACTTGAAGACATGTTCCATCTATACTGTAGCGGGAGGGGAGTTTATCTAGAAAGGAGAATGCCATTCATGATGGCAAACTTTTAATTTTGAGGGTACTAGTACTGTACAGTATGTCAGGTTGCTAATAGTCTAGCTTGGCTGGCTCGCCGTTGTTTCTCCGTGAACCAAAAGATATTGTTTTGTGGTCGATCTAGGCCCCCCCTGCTGGTTCGGACGCGAAAGCGATTTCGTTTGTCCAACGGTTTACTCACTTAAGGGGTCTTCGGAAGAAAAAATTTAACTAAATGCTGGCAGACGACCCAACCCTCGTTGGAGGGAATAATCACCTGCCTTGCTCTTCGATTCTTGATCCATCAGAGCAACCCACGCTGCTTCAACAGATAGAAACAAACCATGGTGCTCGAAGAGTGTTCATGAGAAGCAGATCAAGAGACAGAAGCCATCATCAACTCAACAGGAGCCCCCTTTCGAGCTTCCAAGTGCTACTCCTAGATTGCGAGTGAGCGACGAGGTCTACTAGCTGGATTGCAACGGCGGAGATAACACAGCTCCCACCAACACATCCATCCGGCTACCGTGTGTGTTGTGTACTAAGAATTTTTGGTGAGGGTCGACAAAGCGTGATCCGTGCTCGCTTGCTATCATAGCCACTCCGTGTGCAAGCCACCGTTCCCTTCTAAACCCCTGGAAACGTTGGCGTCTTTTCAAGGAGACACCTTCGAACGGAGCCTCGAAATTCAATCGAATCAAACCACCTTCCCACCAAAGCCACCTTCTCTAACACCAAAAGGAGGGAAGAGCGTGCAAAGGTATCCACTAAGAGAGAGAAGAACCATCACACCCTCTCCGTTACCTGGCTGCTCCACTCCACTCTTGGCGTTGGACACATCCAGTCTTCTCCCATTCATACCCTACTCACTGTTAAGCAACGGCTAGCTGGGCTGGGCTATCATTACTTCTACTACCATTATCAATCGACGCAACAATCACAACAGCACAATGGATAAGCTAGGTGTACCAAAGCTTCGCGGGAGCGACATTCTTACACCACCAGCCACCAAGGGTCAAATGTATGGCTCCAGTAATCGTCAGCAGCAGTATCCACCCGAAGAAGAGGAAGAAGAGAGCAGGATGAGCCGGAATTCAGAACGGCGAAGGCGTCGCTTTCGCAAGCAGAAGTCGCATTCAGACAAGCAACTATCAGAAGATGGGAGCAGCGCTGCGGCATCTTCCACCAAGAAAAAGAACAAACGGAAAGAGAAGAAACTGGGATCTCTCCCGGATGACGAATACGACCCTTATGATTCTGATCCAGGCGAGAGTTATCGTCAACACTGTCTCAGAGTAAACGGCATGAGCACGAAATCATGTCTCAAGTTTCCCAGCTTTTTGAAACAAACGGCTACTATTGGGAATGCTGCAGAATCAGAAACAGAGATGACATCGCCTCCTTCACCCATGGCCTCGGAGATTGGTGATGTGCTCGGACAAACACCCGCATCACTCCCCTCCGACATGACCAGGGTTAGATACTCGCTGCGGTCGTCCATTACGGATGGGTCCGAGAAACAACCCTCTGGGCCATCTGTCATGGAACGGAGAGAACTCAGACCCAACAATGTGCACATCAATGTTAGCCACTGGAGTGACTCGGGGGCTAGGCATTACATGGAAGACAGGTAGGTATCTCAATCTCATGATGGACGAGGGCGTTGATGACCTTTTATTGTCTCACTGATTTTTCTCCTCACGTCAGATATGTGGTGGAAGATCTGGACGCTGTACAAGTCGAGGTCAGCCCTGTTGCAGTGGGCTCACACGCTGAAGGTTCGGTGGAAGTGACATTTGGCCCCCGAAGAAGCCGGCGGTTGACCATGCCTCTGACGTTCTTTGGCGTCTTTGACGGACACGGAGGGGACAAGGCAGCACAATACTGTGCCGACTGGCTGACGGCGTACATTCGAAATGAGGACTCCTATCCCTATGATCTTGGCTACGCCATGAAGAATGCAATCACCAGCATTGACGAAGACTTTGTAGGGACTGGGTACCCTGATGGGACCACCGCCTGTACAGTGTCGTTGGTGGGGGGCCGACGAATCATTTGCGCGAATGCAGGCGATTCCAGAGCCATTGTGGTCCGCAAGGACGGCTCCGTGGTTCGGCTGAGTCGAGACCATAAACCAGGAATGCCTGACGAGACACGGAGGATCTCAGAACTTGGAGGAAGAGTAATATACTGGGGTAGATGGCGTGTGGAGGGACTCTTGGCAGTCTCAAGGAGCATAGGTGACGCATCCCTCAAGCCATACATTACCGCCGAACCAGAAGTATGCGAATACGACGTTGGAAAGGATGACTGGTTCCTGATACTGTCCAGCGACGGAGTGTGGGATGTCATGGATAACGAGGAGGCTGCACATGTTGTTATCGCTTCGTCGTGTGCAATGGAGAATGGGAAGCTCAAGATCGACCCCAACCGATTCAAATGGGCAGCCAGAAATTTATGCGAACACGCAAGGTCATGTGGTTCATCGGATAACTTTTCGGTTGTCGTGGTGGATCTCAAGAGCTGCGGGAACCCAAAGGCTCAAAGCCGATATGAGCCGTGAAACATGCCTATCATCTATCACTACATGTCTACAAAATGTTTATTCCTTGCTACAGTTGGGTGCTACAACGCTGGCGGGACGTGTCGATATTGGGCTACTGTAGCAATAAACGTTTTGAATACTTTACACTATTGATGGATCCTTCGACAGTCTGCAAAAGTGCTGACTGTGGATGGATGCGGGCTTCGGACAATAGGCACGCAGACGGTTGAGAGAGGTCAAGATATCAAAGCGCTATTCAGCATCAGACAGCAAGGTGTTGGTCTCAGGATGGGCGTTGTCTTGCGTTTTGGACTGGGCCGGGAAATGCTCCTTTCGTCGAAAGGGGGGGGGGTAACATGTATAGGACAGGGCAGCCAGCGTTTCAAGTTGGCAAGGTGTCGGTAGCAGTAGGGCAAACTGTTTGGCCCCGAAGTCGGGCATGTTGATTCAGTTCTTGACTTGAGAGCTCTGAGTAGTCCAGAAGCAGGAACCTGAACAGAAGTGTACTAGCCTACTAAAAGTTAGTTTTCCGGAAGTTGGTGCTGGATTGGAGAGGCCAGCGGTGGGTCCGGGAGATGGAGCGGCTGTGGCCTGGCAATGGAGCTGGTGTTGGGCTTCGAGAGAGTCCTGGTGTTGATCCAGTAGTGAAGCCTGAAGATGGACTAGGGGTTGGTCTAGGAATGGGCCCACAGTTGGGACCAGTAGTGGTCTGGGAGTGTGGTTTGCATTTGGAGTTATCGTAGGAGGTGAGTTAGGCCACTTCCTGGTGTGCGAGCTTTGCCCCCGTACCAATGGTGCGGTACTTTTCTTGACTAGCTGGCTACCGTACAGTTTTCTTGACTAGCTACCGTACGGTCGTAGTCAGAATGTAAATTTTAAATTCGCCAGGGCCAGAAATTCAATATTATTGCCGCTTTGTCCAGCAGCGTCCATTTCGGCGAATCTCTTTTTCGCGCCGTGGAGACAAAAACCCTGCTTGCTACGGTAGAGCTACCATAAACTACGAAGATAATCTAGTCTACATCATGGCGTCGACAGTGGAAGCCCGCTTGGCGGCTATCGAATCAAAGCTGGGAATTTTTGCTGGAAAGTCAGCTGCGACAGGAGACAATTTGGATAAGAGATTGGATGACCTGAAGGCCCTCTATGAAGACAAAACCGATGCTGCATTTCGAGAGAGTTTTGCCGAGTCGGATCGGTTGATTGAAGAGCTGGATGCTGGAACTGCTCTTACTCATCAAACCAGCGTCTCGTCTACTCCTCTCTACTACCGTCGTCAAGAAGTCTTGTCCGCGGCCGACGGAATGAAGAGCGATTTTGACCAGCTGATCGAGATCCTCAATCTGCTGCTTGTCTCTCAGCCTCCCAGGGAAGGAGGCTCCGCGCCACTGCGCGAAGAAGAAGTAACACAGGCCCCCATTATCACCACTCCTCCAGCGTCCGAAGAGCACGCCAAGAGATTGGTTGAATTGAAGGGAAACATTGATGATCTGAATTCTCGCACTCAAGCCGTTGCTGGACGCGTAGATGCTCTACTCAAGTTGCATTACGCCCTCATTGCGACAACATCTGAGAAGCTCGTGGTTGCAGATGAAGTAGTTTACGCCAAAGAACAAGCAGCAAAGTAGAGTCCAGTCCTACATTTTAAGTCCACAGCAATCTACACACGATATTTTTTTTCGGTTCCTTGGCCCACTGTCACTCCCATTCATCAAGTAGCACCTGACCCAGAGTACGAGAACAACAAGTGGTCGCAGATGATAACAACTACCGGAGTACAGATCATTAATCTGGTCAACCGCAACAATTTCTTTTTTTACATCTCTTTGTTTTTCGGTTTGCTAATAATATCCAGCCGCGACCTTCTCATCTCATTATGGAATATGCATGGATGCCGGTACATGCCCTGACGGCTAGGCGGCATTCGTCTCGCTTGATCTTGTCACTTTGTTTTAAGACGTCGACTGCTCGCTACGGGCTGCGAACAAAGGCTCGTTTTTGTAGAGGTCTTTGTATCATGCACTCGGTTGTTTGTACTGACACTTCTTGCCTAAAAAACTCTTAGGGCAGATCCGCACCATGCCTTGCCAGCACAGCATCTCGCTTCACTTTGTAGCTCTGGGTGAGAAGGCCGTTGGCCATGGCAAATGGTTCAATAGTCACATGAATGTCTCCGACTTGTTCCCAGGGACGGAAAGATGATGTAGCAGATTTGATGTCAGTCTTCAGGTTGCTCTTGAGGCTAGCATTGGATTGCAACTTTGACACGGCTTCATCCAAAACCTTCAAGTTCTCTTCGCGGTCCCCATCGCTGCACTTGGGGTCATTGATCTTGTCATAGGCAGCTTGCAATTTGGTTGCCTCGGCCTTTTCAAGGAAGCCGGCGGCTCCCAGTTCTTCTGGGCGCAAAACAGCAATGGCCACAAGCCGACGTCCATCCTGGCCGGTCAACATCACTTGTTCAATCAATGTGGTACTTCCCAAGACTGCATCTTCAATCGGGCCCGGTTCGATGTTCTCGCCATTCGACAAAACAATTGTATCCTTGGCACGCCCCGTCAGAATCAAATCTCCCGTGACAGGGTTAATACGACCGACGTCGCCAGTATCGAACCAACCAAACTTGTCGATTGCCTTCGCGGTTGCTTCAGGGTTCTTGTAGTACCCTTGCATGACTTGTGGTCCGCGAGCCAGGACAACTCCAGCTTCGCCGTCAGGAAGAGCAGCACGTTCTACATCGCCTGCCTTTGCATCCAGCTCTACCACTCTCAGCTCTGTATCCCGGCATACTTTACCGGCACATCCTGCCGTCACCAAATTGGCATCGGCTCGTCGATAAGAGATGAGCGGAGAACACTCGGTCAAACCATAGCCGACACAAACTGTCATCCCTACAGTTTGATAAAACTCCTCCAACGACCCTGCCAGTGCACTTCCTCCTGCAATGATAACTTTCAGGTTTCCACCGAATCCATCCTTCACTTTGCTCCAAACCAACTTGTCTCCTACAGCATTGAGGGGGGCCAAGCCAATGCAGATTACTTTTGCCATAGCCTTCTGCAGAATTCCAGGGGCTTCGTCTCCGACCACGATTCCTTCCGAGATTTTCTTTTGCTTGGCAGCGGTTGAAGAAGTGGCTGTGAATACCTTCACCAATGTCTTGACAACAATACTGCCCGAGGAAAACTTGTCCTGCACTCCCAAAGCAATTTTCTCCAAGACACGAGGGACCAACACCATCCATTCTGGTTTGTGAGTTGCCATGTCTTTTTTGAAAGTACGAATTGACGAGTAGACAACGCTGCAACCTCTCGATGCCATCCACAATTCAAAGGTACGCTCTGTGATATGCCAAACGGGAAGCAATGAAACCATCTTGTCTCCAGGAACAGGTTCCGCCTCTTCGTATTTCTTTGAAGGACTCAATCGATGCGTGACCTGATGAATCAAGTTTCCATGAGAAAGCATAACACCCTTGGGTCGTCCAGTGGTGCCCGAAGTGTACACTGTGGGCAGGGGCAAGCAATGAGGCAGTTTGTTAAAATACGGTACGGATGGGATTGAAAACAATGAGTGAAAATCATTCAATTCAATTCAGCACTGTGGGAACCTTACCAATGGTTGCAATGTCACTGTGTCCAAGAGAAGGGCGACGACTGGGGTCAAGGGGAGAGGCTGCGTCTAGCAAATCACCAAAAACCTTGATTTCCACACCCGCTTCTGCCGCAAGCTTGGCAATGTCTTCGTCGGACTTTTTCTCTCGGTGCATGAGAAGAATCGTCTTGACTGGGCCATAAGAGTCATTTTGCAGTCCTAGGTTCTCCAGTCCGGTTGCCTTGGCATGTTTGATGAGTTTCTGCAAGAGCCGTGGTCCCTGAACAACAGCTACCCCGGCACTGTCCGAATGTTCATAAATGTAGAGCAATTCGTCAATGGGAGCATCCGCACCGCGGACCGCCGAAGCTCCTCCTGCCATTTGAATTCCGTGGTCTACCATGAGCCATCGAGCCGAGTTTTCTCCCAGAACAGCCACGTTTTTTCCTTTTTGAATGCCCAAGTCGGCAAACACAGTGGCACTCTTTTGGACCACAGTGTTCATCTGGCTAAAGTTGAGGTCGATCTTTTCGTCGCACATATGTTCATCCAGCAAGGCACGGCGCTCAGGGCATAGATCGGCAAGTTGGGCCCAGAGTTCAGGACAGTTGGTCAAGGTGTCTCGGACGGTTCGAAGCTTGTTGATGAGTGGGTCGGAGGCATAATCGAGTGAATTGAGCTGCACAGAATTGTCAGGTTGTCCGCCTGCGGAACGGTTCATTCGTTGGGACGGATAGTCAAAGTTGCTGGAGCTCTGTCCACCAAATAGCACGGCTTCATCTTCCGACGTCATCGCAGACGCCTTGGCTGTTTCTGTTTCCGTATCCTTTCAAACAAGAGAAGAATCAATCGAAAGGGAAAAGAACAGATCAGATTCCCGCAAAGGAATTGCCATTCATTGACAGATAACGCAAACGGGAGCCGGGCACTTACATCTTTCACTGGGGTTGATTTGACTACAAACGCCGTCGGCTTTGTTTGAGGGGCCAAGTGGCCTGGAACAAAACTTTGTACCTCACAGAACAAGGTGCTGATGAGCCCCACAAGGGCCAAAGAAGAAATCCTCATGGTCTGAATAACTGACTATCGAATTAATTTCTCAAAGAATTTCCGTGGGAATGGTGTGGTTTACCAATATCTCATGGAAAATAATGTAACAACAAGGAAAGGCAATTGACTGATGAATCAATCAATCCCAACATACGTTGATGCGATTATTCGTCTTTCCTTGTGGCCAATCCAAGCAATCTATGTGGCATAATAGGTATTGCCGATGATGTACATGTGCGTGGAGGTAATGGGAAACACGCAGATTCTTTGACACGCAACTTCAACTGATGTGCATCATCTTCTCTGCTTCCAATTGTTAACAAGAATGAAGCTTACCCTTGACCCTAGGCAGAGCCGGTTTTCTTCTATTCTACAGTACCTCCAAGCCAGTGGAGTGGAGAGACAAGCATGGGAGGTGAGGAAGGTGTTTATCTGCCTCGCTTTCGTTGACGGTTCAAATTTGCCTACTGTACTGGTACAGTACGGTAGGTTCAGCACCCAACTCCAAGTGAGGACAACAACACCTTGCCTAACTCCATGAGCGACCACACATGACGAATCGAATGAAATCTCCCAAACACCAGCATTAAGCCACTCCAGGCCCAACATCTGAACTATCACCTGCAACAATACACGAAATACGTGACCCATCTCCTCGACTGACGCCGGGCACACGATTTGGTCACAACCATTGCTAGTACTAGTAGCTACATCACCGTAACAACTACGGGATCTGCGGCAGCAACATCCCCCTTGGCGTTTCAGAGCCTTGGGTTTTGAGAACCTCAACCTTACAGAGCAATTTTGAACGAAAATAAGTAATGGGAAAGCTCCAACAAAGATGTTCTGGCCAGCCAGAAAGATAGACAACGCGGTCAAATCGATTCGAATCGAGGCTGATTGAGGGTAATCCACAAATCTATTCATAGAATTAATAACTCGACACAAAGCAAAAACTCCAAAGTCCCACCACCACACGGCTCCTCGATCGACAGGGAATCAAAACGAAATCGAATCACCAAACCGTGGTATATACAACTGTTTCATCCATGCATCCAAGTTTGCTGTTTGTCATCTCTTATTTGTGAAAGTTCCCGTTACGGACGGCCATGATTCTGTTTCGTGCGTCATCCAGTACGGTAGTAGTTGCTCTATTTACGAGCCTTGTCGTAATTTTCCACAAACCAATCGCATGCTTTTTTGAGTCCGTCTTCAATGGTAGTGAATTTGTATTCTGGACGGTGCTTGCGGAGCTTCTTGTTACAGGCAGTCTTTTTGAATTGTCC